TGTCTGTGTCCACTGGTTATGCGTATATGCATATAAGTTCTTTGGTTTATTTCTTCCCACCCCCCAAACCCCCCTTCCCTTTGAGGTTTGTCAGCCTAGCAACCAATTTGTTCTTTTTAATTCCTTCACCTTTTTCACCCATTCCTCCATCCCCCTTCTATCTGGCAACTAACAAAATGTTCTCTGTATCTATGAGAATGTTTCTGTTCTGCCTGTTCATTTTGTTTGTAGATTCCATTGTCGATAGCTATGTATTCATTGCCATTTTGTTTGTTCATATATTTTATCTTTTTCTTCAAAAAGACCCTTGAACATTTCATATAATAACGGTCTGGTGGTGATGAACTCCTTCAACTTCTTCTTGTTTGGGAAACTCTTTATATGGCCATCGATTCTAAATGACAGCTTTGCAGGCTAGAGTAATCTTGGTTGTAGGTCCTTTTCATCACTCTGAATATTTCTTGCCACTCCCTTCTGGCCTGCAAAGTTTCTTTTGAGAAATCAGCTGACAGTCTTATGGGAACTCCCTTGTAGGTAACTAACTGCTTTTCTCTTGCTGCTTTTAAAATTCTCTGTCTTGAACCTTTTGCATTTTGATGATGATGTGTCTTGGTGTGGGCCTCTTGGGGTTCATCGTGTTTGGGACTCTTTGTGCTTCCTAGACTTGTCTGTTTCCTTCACCAAGTTAGGGAAGTTTACTGCCATTATGGTTTCAAATAGGTTTTCGATTTCTTGTTCTCTCTCTTCTCCTTCTGGCACCCCCAAGATGCGAATGTTGGCACGCTTGAAGTGTCCCAGAGGCTCCTTACACTATCCTCATTTTTTTTTATTCTTTTTTCTTTTTGCTGTTCTGATTGGGTGTTTCTTGCTTCCTTAGATTCCAAATCAATGGTTTGCTTCTTGGCTTTACCTACTCTACTATTGAATCTGTGTAAATTATTCTTTATTTCAGTTAGTGCCTCCTTCATTTCTGACTGGTCCTTTTTTATGCTCTTGAGGCCCTCACTAAGTTTGCTGAGGTTCTCACTAAGTTCATTTAGCATCTGTATAAGCAGTATTTTGAATTCAGCATCTGTTAGGTTGCTTATCTCCATTTCGCTTAGTTTTTTTCTTGGAGATTTTTTTCTGTTCTTTCATTTGGGACCAGTTTCTTTGTCTCCTCATTTTGGCTGCCTCCCTGTGTTTGTTTCTGTGTATTACTTAATGGGAGGTATGGGGCTCGCTGAGACCAGATGCTGCTTGTTTGAAAGAATTTAGGAAACCCTGAAGCAGGATCCAAGACAGGTCAATCCTATGGTTAAGCAAGTGGCAACAGCTTGGGTGGGCCTAAAAGTTGGGTGGGCAGGGCCTCAGGGAGTCATATAGGGCGGGGCTAGCAGTGTGAGCCAGGTTGCTGGAGTCCCAGATATGGCTTCTGTCTGCCGCCCCAGGGAAGGGCTCACCAAAGGAACAAAGGCCTCTGACAGCACGTTTGTCCCTGAGAAAGCCCCTCTTCAGCCCTCACTCCAGTGCCAAACAGCTCAATTCTTCCCTGTATGTCTCTGGTGCCCCTCAAGCTGCCTCCACTCCAAGCTCAGAGGGAGAGAGTCCGATAAGTCCGTGCGCGGGCCCTTTAAGAGGAGCTGCCTCGGGCTCCAGCCGCCTCAGCCTCCCTGAGCCTCAGTTCCTGCTGGTTTTCCAGCCAGAAGTGATGGGGATTCTCTTCCTGGCACTGGAACCCTGAGCAGGGCAACTTATGTGGGACGGGGACCCCTCAGTCCTCAGGGAGGATGTTCCCAGCCGAGGTGTCCTGATTTTATCCGCCACACGTGGGTGTGGGCCCAGCCCGTCCCCTCCGCCCCTCCTACCAGTCTGGATGTGGCTGCTGCTTTAATTCCGTAGTTGTAGGACTTCCATTCAGCTTGATTTCAGGCGGTTCTGAATTATGGCTATTCTGTAGTTTAGTTGTACTGTGATGTGGTTGTGGGAGGACGCGATACCACATTTACCTACCCGCCATCTTGACCGGAAGTCCTTAGTTAGCAATTTTCTCAACTTCTCAAAAGCAAATCTGCTCTTAATAGCATCCAATCCATTAATCCTTTCAGTAATTGTCGATGTTCTTCCTCCTATCTAAGGCTAATCCACTCACCTATCCCTAAACGTCACTGTCTCTAGTCTCTTCATATCTTGCACAATTAGCCCCTTTTCTCTTATATTTTTATCATCTTCTTCTGCTGGATCCTTCCCTGTCAGCATTTAAATTGCTTAAGTCTCTCCCATCCAAAAACACAAAACTAAAACTGGCTGACCCATCCCCTCCTCTACAGGAACTCCTTTCTCTCCTCCCTATTGTTAAATGAGAATTCTATGGTTGTTATCTCAATCTGTTTTCCTAATTATTGCTTAATCTACTTGGATATAGAATTCTCACCCCACCCCAACCCACCCCCATAGAACTTAAAACTGTTCTTACTAAGGTCTTCCACCAAAAGCACCCACAATGCTTATTTTTTTTAATTTTTTTTTGGTACGTGCCCCTAGCGGAAACCGAACCCAGGACTCTCTGGTCCACAGGCTGACACTCCAACTGCTGAGCCAAACCAGTCAGGGCTTGATGCTAAATCTAAAGGATCGTTACTAAACTTCATTTAGCTTGACCACATGGAGGCCTTTGACATGGCCAATCATACCCTCTTTTGAAACATTCACCTCCTTGATGATATATTCCTCTGGTTTTCCCTTCTCCAGAGACTGTCCTTTCAGATTCTTCCTTTCCTACTCAACCCATACACATTGATACTTCTCAGGGATAAAGTCCTACAACCTCTTCTGACTCTATAGACCAAGAGTTCAAACTCTGATGCTTTAGGAACAAGGCAGGTAAAAAAGAATAATGTAATCTGGGTGGACCTAAGACGTTAGAAAGTGAGGAGGGCTGTGGTAAACTGGATAGCTCATATCTCAAACAGAGAGGGTAGTCTCCATTTGGCTTAATCCGATTTTATGCAGGAAAGTAGCCTTATTTGTTGGGATTTCCAAAAAGCCTATTACTATGTACAATTTCTTCGATTTAAAAAAACACTGTGTGAATAATAATGATGAGGAGGATGTTGAAACCTACAAGGTGCTAGTCTATTATCCCTGCAGATTTTTCTTAAATAATCTCATCCTTTTCCATCGCTTCTATACCCACTTTATATGGAAAATCTCTAAGGTTAGCTCTCTCACCTAGACTCTATTCGGGTCCCTATACAAAGTGCCTTGTTGACATCATCTCCATTCAGTTGTCTCCTTAAAATTATCCCTCTCCTCCCCATCCTCTCTCCCAACCAGTTACTCCACTTGTATTCCCTAGTTTGGTAATGGTACCAACTGTCAACGGCTCCAGTCAGAAATTTGGGAAGCCATCCTTGACTGTTTTTCTCTTGTCACGAATATATTCAATATTACATATTTAGTACCAATGACATACTTTCCAGCCATTATTCTATCACTAAATTCCATCCAGTTTTCTAATCCCATTTGCCACCATGGTTTCATCTAGATCACCAACAGCCTCCCAACTGGTCTCTATTCTTGCATCTTGTCTCATTTAATCTATTCTCCATATTAGGGCTAGAATTCTCACACTACACTGTAACAGCTCAGTCTTATGATGCCACTATTCTGTTCAGTCTCCAAGGCTTCCCTTTGCCAGGATAAGAAAAGATTACATCTTTAACAGTGTTTGCAAGGCCCCTGAGGGTCTATCCCAGCAGCATTCTTTCAGTCTCTGGAATGCTACAATCTCTGTGCCCTGGCTAAGAACACTCAAACTTCAGGTTGCTTCTTGAAGGTCATTAGCTTTCCTTGACCCTCAGATTACATTGTTCTTCCTATCTCGTAGCAATGAACTGTTCAAGGTGTCTATGAGACCCAGATTTCAAAGACAGAAACCCCATATGCTGTGTTCACCTCTGGATTTCCCAGTCCCTAGAGCAGTGCCTATCACAGCATTGACGCTCAATAAATGTTGAAATAATGGTTACATTCACCTTTGCAAAGAGCTGTTTGAATTCTTCCCTAATTCCCACCCTCTTCTCTTTTTAGAGGAAAGAATAAAGGTGAACTATCTCATTTTCCTTAAAAACAACAAACCCTCCCCACCCCCTGAATGAAGGAGCCAGTCACGTGAGGCCGATTACGGTCACTGGCCTCTTTAAGCGCGGTGGGGCGGGGAGGGTGTGGACAGCTGCACCATGTGTAAGTAACCCGAGCAGAGGCACCAGGTCCTGAGCCCAGCGAGCACGTGCTGCCGCAGAGCACCAGAGGGCGGGCGCCGGGAGGATGACCGTCCCAGGCGGCAGGACGTGCTCGCGCCCGTGGCCGCCGCAGCCCGCGCCGCGGCCGCCGGGTGTCGGAGCGAGCGCACGTGCGCCGGCCGGACCCGAGCGGGAGGAGCGCCGGGCTCTTGCGAGGACATGGAGGGCGAAGCGCTGTTTAGGGGTAGGGAAAGGCGTGGGGCGACGTGTGCCCCGGGAGGGGAGAGCAGAGCAGGGAAGGAGAGGCTTTGAGGGACGGAGAGGCAGGGAGGATCCCAGCTAGGTAAGAGCTAGGTAAGGCGGGCCGATCTCGGGCGGGGGAGGAAGGGGCGGGGCGGGGCCGCAGGAGCCGCGGAGGAGACGCACCGCGGGCCCACGTTGCGAGTTCTTCCGGAGGTCCGGCTGGGGGCGCTCACACTTGGGAGTCGGACGGGGATGGGTGGTGACAAGATCCCCGCCGTGGCTTAGCCAGGCCCTGCACCGGCCCAACCCCCCGCAGCCCGATTTCCTCCTGCTGCGCGCGCACGCGCGCGCGGCCTCGTCGCGCCGAGCGCCAGGCCTAACGGTTGGCTCCTCCCCGCCACTAGAAGGGGGCGGGGGGCGTGCCGACCCTCTGAGGTCTGCGCTCGGAGGCGGCCGCGTCAGCCGAAGCCCGACGCGGTGACGCAGTACGTCGACGTAAGTGACGCGCAGGCCCGGGCCGCTCCTCCTTCCTTGAGTGAGTGCCGGCCCGTTCGGGGCGGGGGAGAGGAGGGAGGGCAGGGGAGGGAGAGGCGGCCGGGGAGTCGTTGTGGGCCGCGGGCCGGACCGGGTCCCGGGGCGGCGGGAGCCAGGGCCGGGCAGAAGGGCTTGGCGGGCCGTTAGAGGGCCGCGGCGCTGTCGGCCCCCTCCCCTGACGGACCTGCGCGCCCGGGCGCCCGGAGCCTCCGGCGCGGTGCCCGCCCCGCTCCAGCTCGCGTCTCCCGACTCCAATTAGGTCAGGCTCGGAGTCCAGCGGCCGCGGCTCCGGCCCCCGGCGCGCGGCCGCCACCGGCTCGCCTTTCTTTCTTCTCTCGCCTTTCTCCCCTCTCGCCTTACCCTCCCCCCCTCTTTCACGTTGCTGGGGTGTTGGTTTTTGTTGTTTTCTGCTTTGGGGGTTCTGTTCCCCAGCCCGAGCTCATGGGTGTCCATTACCATGCTCCTCTTTTGTAGAGCAACCCGACGGCCATGGAGGCCGAAGAGACGATGGAATGCCTCCAGGAGTTCCCTGAACATCACAAGATGATCCTGGACCGATTGAATGAACAGCGAGAGCAGGACCGGTTTACTGACATTACCTTGATTGTCGACGGTGGGTAGGGCGGGGGGCTCCGAGGCGAATGTGGGCTCTGGTTCTCCCTCCCTTTTCCCCACCCGCCTTTTTACTCACCCCCTGCGGGCTCCCTATCAGATCCGAGGGTGGGCGCCGGCCGGGCACTTGACAGTGTCCGCTCACATGGACTGCCCTGCAGAAGCTAGTTGGCGGGCAGGCTCGCTTTCGACAAACCGTGGCACTTTAACCCCTCGGAGTTTTCCCACTGCACACTCGAGTTCAGGATTATGGCGTGGGCACAGGGAGGATGTCTCCAAATGCGTGGTGAATAGTCTTCTCTGGATGAGCTGCTTTGAGGAGTATCTCCCGGGACTCATGCTTTTCAAATGGTCTTGGAGGGAGACGGAGAATCCTTTGCAGCACTGGTACTCTGTTTGGGGACCCGCAGAGTGAAATGGGGTCTTTATCTGTCTTGGGTGTTGTCATTGTAATGGAGGCAAACCCAGCATGGGTGTCCTTGCAGCGGAGTGAAAATGGGCTTCTTCCAGACATTAGGCATATTAAAATGTTTCCCATAGCAGACACCTCCTGCTTCCTGCTTGTTCTGTGGCTTTTTCTCCTCTCTTCCTAAATGACCTATAACCTTTTGGGTGGTGTTTATGTTTAGCAGTTTCAATTGAACAGGGTATGCCTTTCACTCTTCAGTTAAGTGGTAGAAGGTTCCTACCTCCTTAAGTATTATAAACTGGCCTTTATCAAACTGAATTAATAAGGTCTTTGAGGTAAAGATCGGGTTTTGTGTCTTATTGAGATTAAAATTTGTCAAGAAAGCTGCCCCCCCCAAAAAGTGTGTGTGTGTGTGTGTGTGTGTGTGTGTATATATATATATGTTTTTTTTTTGGTGTGTGCCCCTAATGGGAACCGAACCTAGGACTCTGGTCTGCAGGCTGATGCTCCAACCACTGAGCCAAACCAGCCAGGGTGCCAGAAATATTCTTAATTTTAGTTCAGTAATGTGTATAGTTTCATAGTTATGAAGAAAGATTTGCTTGATTTATTTTTCTAACTTGTTTTCTAGTTTCGTGATTGATTTTTGTGAATGTGTATGATTTTATTTTCTTTTTGTCTAGGTCACCATTTTAAGGCCCACAAGGCTGTTTTGGCTGCTTGCAGTAAGTTCTTCTACAAATTCTTTCAGGAGTTTACTCAGGAACCTTTGGTGGAGATAGAAGGTAAATGCTTGTTTTAAATAAAACTGCTTAGCAAATGTTATAATTGACGAAGCTTTAGACAGTTAATTTAGCAAGATACCATGGGACGGAATCAGTGGGTTCTGTTAGGGGACTGGCTAAATTGTTCTTTTGACACCTGAGAATTCTTACTTTCAGTAAAGTGCATGGTACAATGATCTGCCAGGAAAAACTCCTACGTTAGATGGTAGGTGTTGGTCTCTTAAAGGAGTCTTTTCCTCTGCTAAAACCAGTGGTCACTCACTGTCTTTTGAAAACATGTATGACTAATAAATTACCATGTTTGTTCAGTAGGCTTATGTTTCAGATTGGGGATGCTAAAGGATACTGTAGCGGTCTCTACCAGGAGAGGTACAGATGACATGCTCAGTGTGAAGTAGGCTGCCAAAATGTGGAAGGGGTTAGAAAAGGTGAACTGTAGTAGCATTCAGAAGTTCTAATGGTTATAGAAGGTCAGGGATGGAAAAGGCTATCCACTAGACACTGCCTTACAATAGTAAGTGATTTTTTTGTACTTGCTTGACTTTTCTGTAATAATGGTCTGCCAACTGCTAGGTATTGTGCTTTGTAGTTTATGTGCATTTCCTGGGGTTCACAGCAGCAATCCTTTGAAGTAAGTGGTATTATTTCCAATTTATACATCAGGGAACAGGCTCTAAAAGGTTACTTGCCCAAGGTTGCCCAGCTAGCAGGGGAGTCCCAATTCAGAACTAGGAACTAAATCAGCATGCCTACATTAATATCAAATTTTAACTTCTTTCAAAAGAAAGCTCTTGAGTTTTGATTTTTTATTTTTCACAGTGTCTGTACTCTTTGTTATGAATGTGTTGCCTAGAAACACTATTCCCTTGGAAAAAATTTTGTGCCTAGGAGAGTACAAAAAATATAAAGAGTTAAGAATATTCTTTTATTTTGGTACATTCCAGTTTATTTAGCATTCTAGCTGCTGTGCCCATGGGTAGATTATTTTCTGGTTTTCTGTGATGGACAGAGCACAGGCATAATGGAAATCCATAAAGCTTACTAACATGGGACTCTAGCTGCCCAGGATGGTATTGGGTTTTATTGCAAGGTAAGATTTTACGCATTTATTCACCTGAGGTACTGTGTGACCCCCCCAAGACAGGTTACTTTACCTCAATTGCATTTTAGCCTCCTCATCTGAAAAGTAGATTAATAGGCTTGATTAGTTGAAATAGCGTATGCCTGGCGTAGTGTTTAGTGGATTGTTAAAGCTTAATAAATAGGGGCTACTTGTCAGTTGAGTACCTATTATGCTAGACCCATGAAATGAAGAATTGATGAATAAGACAACCCTTTAAACATTTGCAAATTTAATCATGGATGAGCAACAGGTGAAGAAAAGAACACAAAAAGTGTTACAGAACTTTTATTGTGGAATGGTATCTCTGAGGAAGGAGAATGGGTGGTTGAGTCTGCCTTCGAGATTTGAGAGATGGGAAAGAAAGGAAAAAAGTAAATGGCCAGGCTAGGTTGTGGATTGCTGGTGCAGCAAGGAGCACTGAGCTACCTGAAGAAGTAGGGTCTTCTCTCCTGAAGACCAATCATCTTGGGATGTCTCGTACCTCTCAGTACCTCTGACCTGCTCTGCCCATTACAGTACACACACAGCCTTCAGTGTTTAAACTGTAGACTGATAAAGTAAAATGTAAGAACATTTTCTGGTTTTGTTATTTGCCAGATCCAGGTTTAAAGAATCCATTGGGCTCGGTGTCTTCTTTTATTTTTTTATTTATTTATTTTTATCCTCACCCGAGGATATTTTTCCATTTTTTTGTACAGATAGAGTGGGAGGGAGAGAGAGAGAAACATCGATGTGAAGGGACACATCGAGTGGCTGCCACCCGCACGACCAACCAGGGCCAGGGACAAACTGCAACCGACGTACGTGCCCTTAGCGGGAACCGAACCCGGGTCTCTCCAGACCGCAGGCCGACGCTCTAACCACTGAGCCAAACTGGCCAGGGCTCGGTGTCTTCTTAAGCCGATAGCTTTGGGATGGCTTTGTTCTCTGCCTAGCTCACCTGACAGTAGAGAAAGCCCTGGGTGTGTAGTTAGAAAACCCGCGTGGTAGTCCCGGCTTTCCTCTTTGTTAGTTTTGTAACCTTGGGCATCCTGACTTTTTCTTTTTTTTAATCTGAAAATATGTTAAGTAATTTTGGACCATGTTGTGGATATTTTGAATATTATATCATCACACTCTGGGTGCTGTTAAAATCCTCTGGAGAATGCTTTTGTGGTTTTGATTTTGGTTTATTTTAGGGGGCAGTCAACCTGGTTTGGGTCAGACTGCCTTATGTGGGCTGTGGATCCAGTTCCAGTTTTGTTTTCAAAACCTTTGTTGTGCTATTCAGGTCCCAGGTGTGCCAACCTGGGTGGTAGTTCACGCCATAGTGCAGTTCTCAAAGCCTTGGCAGGTCAGTTCCACACGTGTGCAGCTTGGTGGTGAGCTTGAGCCTGCATACACAGATTGAGAAGACCTAGCGCAGGTCTCTGATTTCCTCCACACATTAGCTCCCAGGAGGTTATTTTCCTGGTCCTCCATCTAGAAAACCAGGGTTTGTTTTATCCTCCCTGTGCGATCTACACTTCCCATCATGAGACCCATTTCGTGGACAAAGTGGTGAGAGAAAAAGGAGAGAAAATAATTAGCAAGAATTCTCTCCATGCTCTTTACATCATCATCTCTCTCCTAGCTCTCTGTCAAAGAGAACTTTCTCTTAGACTTCAGGTTCTTGCTTGGTGGCCACCAATCATGGGTGCACAGCATCAGAACTGGGGCTTGCCTTGAGGGAGCGCTGATAGAAGAATACAAACGAAGTATTTTTTCCACACAAACACATATACTCTCCATCTTCTTTCCTGGCTCTGCAGCAGAAAGAGTATTTCTTGAAGCTTCTTCTGTCCGAACCTGCTGCACACTTAAGGGGTTTGGACCATCCTCAAGGCTAAGCTGGGACATGTGAGAGGAAAAATAGAAACCAGGAAACTCACTGCTGCTCTTTTTTCAGTTTTGATTCCTCTCTTCAGTCTGCTTGCTACCGTTTATTTTTCAGAGTCCTTGTACATTTGCTTTATTTATTTTGTCCAGGATTTTTAGTTATAATCAATGGAGAAGATAGAGTAGAGTGTGCTTTCTCCATCTTAGCTAGAACTGGAGTCCCCCCATTTGTAACATCTGAGAAATGACCTGTAGTGGTGGTTCTCATCTTCTGCCGCACATTAGAAACATCAGGGGAGCTTTTGTGAGTACTAATATCCAGGCTGTATCTCCAGATGAATTAAATCAGTCTTTGAGGGTTGGGATCCAAGCATCTGTATTTAAAAGTTGTCTAGGTCCTTGTCATTCAAGGTGTGGTTGGAGGACCAGTGATGCATGAGCATCACCTGGGAGCTTGTTAGAAGTGTAGACTCCTGAGCTACACCCTAGACCTACTGAATCAGTCCAAGATACTAGATGACTCCTATGTACAGCAAAGTTAGGGCAGCACCACCCAAAACTCAGAACCATTTTGGTGTGTAGCCAGTATTGAGAACCACTGTCTTAGAGGGTTTTGTAAAAGCAAATGACATGCCTGTAAAGTAAATTTCAGTTCTAATACGCGCTATGAGTATAAACTGTCACTAGATGCAGGCTTAGTTACTGCGCTCCCTGTTTTCTAGGTCCTCAGTGAAGTAAGTTATCTTTAATTAGAAGCAGAGGTTCACCTTTGACTTCAAATAAAAATTCTTATCCTGAAAGCCAGTTGCTTTGTGGGTTGTGACTTGGATTTACACCACATAAAGTCTTCAATGAACATTAATTTCCTTGTTCAGAACATAGCCTCTAACCTGAGCCTCTAATTTTCTGAACCCATTCTTTCTCTATTCCTCCCGAAACCACATCCATAAGCACCTAGTTTTCTCTCTAATAGCAGCTCTACCATTGTGTCAAATTTTAGTCCTTACTATCAAGGACAGAACATCCAAGTACATGTTCATGCATCCTTTTTGAGTGACCGTGTTTACCAATTGGGGGAATTCCCTAAGACTAGAGAAATTACAGAATGCCTCTTTTTTGTTTCTTCCTCAAAAAAAGAAGACTTAGATTAAGGTGTTAATGTTAACATTTTCCTCAGATACTTGGTTAGAAAAATTGTATTCTATAGCACACTTCTATTATGAACGGATAAATGGGACAATGGGCTGAGACTTGAAAGTTACCAAATTAGTCCTGATAGAGAATACATCATCTACCACCACATCACTTCCCTGGGTAGGAGTTAATCAGTTTAGTTCTTGTTAGCTGATCAGTCAGGTTAGTGGTCTGTTCCTATGACCAGTGCTAGGTTGGCCGCATCAGAAGCACCCAGGGTGTTTATAAAACAGTTTCCTATCTCAGTTTTTATTTCAGAGATGAGGGGCCCATGCTTTTATTAAATCTGCAGGTGATTCTGGTTAACCAAGATTGGGAAGAGTTCACATAGTCAAATCCTTGAGGCTGATTGTTTCTTGAAATTACACATTTTTAGAATTTCTAAGGATACTGCAGTATGTTTATTACAAAATACTCCCAGTGGGTTGGGGTAATACTCTCCAGTCAAATATTTCAGCAGTGTAGCATATTACTATTTAATTGGGATAAAAACTGTAAATACCTCATGTCAGTTCAGATCAAATTTTAGGGAAAACTTCTGGTTTTAAGAAATTAGGGGACTTTGGGATTATAAATTAGAGATTGTGGGCCTGTAGTGAATGAGCCCATGGATATTCAAACTCTTCCAGGCAGGAATGTTTCCTGCCATCTCCTATTTGAACATCTTTTTTTTTTATCCTCACCAGATGACATTTTTCCATTTTTGTTCAGATAGAGAGTGGAAGGAAGAGAGAGAGAGAGAAACATCAATGTGAAAGGAACACATTGAGTGGCTGCCTCCCTCACGACCCCAACCAGGGCCAGGGACAAATTGTAACTGAGGTGTGTGACTTTGACTGGAATTGAACCTGCGACACATTGGTCTGTGGGCCGACAACCACTGAGCCAGATTGGCCAGGGCCTATTTGAACATCTTTATCATGGACTTTGAAGTTGGACCATTGGTTTGATCCTAGTTTTATTATCACTTAATGACTATGTGACTCGGGTGAGTTACTTAACTTCTCTGTGTCTCAATTTCTTCATTTGTAAAATGGGGATTATAATAGCAAGTATCTCAAGGGGTTGTTATAGGAAATAAGTGAGTTAGTACTTGTAAGGTATTTAGAGTTGTGCCCGAATTATACATGTTAAACATTATATATGTGTGTCTTCTATTAACAGTCAAAATTTCATTCCATTTTAGGAAAAATTTACACATTGTTTTTAGAAAGGACTTTACTGCATTTTGAAAAATTTGGTCAAAACTTTCTCAAAAAAAAAGAAAAGTGCACTCCAGTTATCCATCCCTCAGGCTATTTTCATATAAAAAAGAATAATATGGTCGAGCCCAGCCAGTGTGGTGTGGCTCAGTGGTTGAGCATCAGCCCATGCACCAAGAGGTCACTGGTTCAATTCCCAGTCAGGGCACCTGCCCAGGTTGTGGGCCAAATCCCCAGTGTGGGGCATGCAGGAGGCGGTCATTTGATGGTCTCTCTCATCGATGTTTATAGCTCTCTCTCCCTCTCCCTTCCTCTCTCTCTAAATAATAAAGAAGAAGAAGAATATGGTCAAAAGACACCCAGGTTTAAAAAAAACAAAAAGGTTTAGCAGACCCAAATAAAATTAGCCATTAGTGAATCCAGTTATTTTCATTTCCTTATTTGGTAGCATGTAACATGGTCCTATTACATTATATTTTGTGGTGTTTCTCATTATTCGGTTGCCTTCAGACATTTTGAAGATGCATATACTGAGGCTCAGGGATTCTGATTTGTCCCAAGTCACACAGGTCTTGGAGAGCTGGGACTAAACTAAAACTTTGAAGTTCTGACTCCCCGAATGATGTACTTTCCTTACACAGATAGGGGATGGTGGATATTCCACCAGTATTCTTACTATTGTCCTAAAGGCCACATTGAGGTGGATAAAGTGCATGGGGAGAACATCAAAATATTTGTGTATTTGCAGTTGTGCATATTGTGTGCAGTTTGGACTTGGGCGTTTTTTAGCATTAAAATTTTTATGTTAAAACGAGTTTTCTCTTCGTTCCTGTCAGTGGTTGTTTTTTTTGTTTTGTTTTGTTTTTTAGCTTTGCATTAGCAAACTAAAATAATATATATAGCTTTGAAGGGCATAAAAAAATAGAGTATCCTTTTGGGCCAGGATTTAAACAGAAGACTTGTGAAGAAAAGTTGGAATCGTGGAAGTTTATTTTTAAAAATGATTTTAGCTTGTATTTCTCTTTGTGTGCCTGCATTCTAGGAAACATTGGGTTAGGTATTATGTGAGGTACCTTAAGTAGCTTACTGTCAAGAGCTGTCCATCAGTTGTAATTGTCAGACCGGGTACAGAGTTCAACCTGGGGGAAGTATTCAAGAAGGTTTCATTAAAGATACAGCATTAGAATTGGGCCTTTCAAGGTTGTGGGATTTGTGCAGAGATACAGCAATTAGGCATTCAGGCAAGAGGGCAGGTGTTAGTGAAGGCAAGGAAGCTCTCAGGAACTGAATGGGCTTAAGAATCAGTATGACATGTGTTTGATATAGTTTAAAATGTAGAAGGGAAAATGGTGTTAAATAGAAAAATAAATGAAATAAGGCAGAGTGGTACTGAACTTGGTTTGCTAAGCCATGGAAAGCCATTGATTGTTTTGGACTCGAGAAGATGCAATGCTTGCTCCCTGGCAGGGACCAGAGCATGTCTGGCGTGGAGTAGTCAGCCAGCTCATGTTTGAGTGACAGGCTTTCCTCTTCTGTAAGGGCCATAGGAACTCTTTGGGAACGGTCTTAAGGTAGTTTGTTAGTTAGTGCTGGAACTTGGCTACAACAATATTTACTGTTACTGAGAATTCTGCCAGGAAATACTCTTCAAATGTGACAAGCACCAGTCAAGTTCCAAACACTTAGCTTTTTTTTCCTTTACTAAATGTTGTAAGATTCTAATCAACATGAATAGATGCTAATGCATGTCTTTTTTTACAGGTGTTAGTAAAATGGCCTTTAGTCATTTAATTGAGTTCACATATACCGCAAAACTAATGATCCAAGGAGAAGAAGAAGCCAATGATGTGTGGAAAGCAGCCGAGTTTCTACAAATGCTGGAAGCTATCAAAGCTCTTGAAGTCAGGTAATTATTTCTTTAATGAGGCACAGTTATATTCAGTAATGTTTACTGTGTTACTTAAGAAATTGTTGCATGTGTGATACCATAAAGAACTGAAATTTTCAAATTAAGAATATTTAAGGATTTATAAAATTCTTCTGGATACAAACTTTTCTTTCCCTCATACTTGATTTTCTGTACTTATGTAAAAACTGCTAAGGTTAACTAAAGGAGCATCTTTTGTATCTATAAGGACTAAGCAGCTTTTAAGGAGTTCTCTGTAAACTGTTCTGTTTAATTCAAGTTGTTAGTTATTTGTACCAAGCCTTATTCTAAAAAGGGTTTGGCTAACAAAAATTAACATAGGATTCTTTAAAAGTGAGGAAATTGGTAAAAATAAAATAGGCCAGGTAGGGGCAATAATCAGTGAAGTTAGATGGTGGCCGAAATGTATGCCATCTAAGTCTGTATACTTGCTAGTTGGACCAAATCTAGCTTTGAGTTCTGGAGCACCTAGTACAAAGAAAAAGGAAAAAGTAGTACATTATTCATGGTTATAATATGAGAACAAATTAATTGTGCAGAAGCCATCCCTGGCATCAAAACACACAATTTCTCCTAGGAAGTATTAAGAAAACATTAGCTGATATAATGAATAAAGACTGCACCATCTTTCACAGTGAATGGTGGCATTGTAATACAGTGACTCAAAACAAGTGCTCTGGAGTTAGGCTGCCTGGATATCATCCCAGCTCTACCACTGCGTGTGGCTTTAATGTAGTGAGCTGTCAGCAGCTCAGTGTCCTCCTCTGTCAGATGGGGATAATAATGATACTTTCTACATGGGATTACTTGTGAGAGTTAAATGAATCAGTGCATGTAAAGTGCTTAGCATGGTGTCTGGCACATACTACTCTAAGATGTAAACTGCTATTATCTCCTTGCTCTGTTCCTTAAGATGTTCCTCATGTAGGTCACTGGTGTAACATTAAAGGGCAGTTTGGTAAAATCAGTTTCACGTGGGCAAAATATTTCAGTCCAGCTCACTGGTGTGGTTTTAGTCAAAAGTCCTTGGCAACAGAACAGTAGAACATATTCTAGGTTGGATTTGGGGGGGCATTTGAGTTCTTGTGTATAGTCACAGGAGATGAAGGTGAGAACAACTGGGTGCAGCTGTTTTCTTAGTCCTATTTAGAACCTTAGAGGATTTATTATTATAGACTGAGATCCCTATAGTTTTTTACAATCATCAGTGCTTTTCAGTACAAATACAGTAGCATGTTGAATTATTTCTTGAACCAGTTAGGCAGGCATGTAGTATACTCTGAAAAGTTTTTTGAAAGTAGGAAGACAACAGTATTACATGTTGGCTGTTTATAATAATAAAATTTAAAAATAAAAATTAATTTAGTTGTAGTTAAATCTGTTTAAGGCAACTATTAAGAAGATTATTGTGTAACTTTTTTAGATACAGAAGGTGAATAAGGTGCTCTTTTCATAGTTGCAGTATGCGAGTATTTTGGGAATATAAAGTAAACTTTTTGAATGACACTGAAAAAATACTAGGACCTTATTTATTTTGCTGGAATTGCACCATTATTTGTTTAAATGAGATGGTTCCTGTTATTTGGTAGGAAGCAGCAGTTGCCTTACAGATTTTTCTCTCCCCAGCCTATTGAGGTATAATTTACATATAATTCACACATTTTTTAGTGTAGAGTTTGACTTTTGTTGATTTTGTACAGTGGTGTAACCACCACCACAATTAAGATAAGAACATTTCTATCACCGTAAGTTTTCTCATGACTTTATAGTGGACCTTGATCCCCAGCCCCAACCAACCACTGATCTGATTTTATCATTATAGTTTTACCTTGTTTAAAATTTCGTATAAATGAACTCTTACATTGTGTAGTCTTTCATGTTTGACTTTTTCACTTAGCATTATGTTTTACAGCAGTTCTCAACTTTCCTTAATGCTGTGACCCTTTAATACAGCTCTTCATGTTGTCTGTGGCGTATCTGCATGTGGGCGGACCGCCTGGAGACGGACAGAGGAGCGGTGTCTCAGTTCCTAAGACCATCAGAAATACGTGTATTCTGATGGTCTTAGGCGACCCCTGTGAAAGGGTCATTCAACCCCCAAAGGAGTTGCAGCCCACAGGTTGAGAACTGCTGTTTTAGAGAGTTTCCATGTTGTGGGTAGTACTGTTTTGTTCCATTTTATTGCTCAGTACTGTTCCAGTTGTATGGCTGTACCACCTGTTGATGGACATTTAGGTTGTTTCCAGTTTTTAGCTTTTATAAATAAACTGGCTACAAACATTTGTGTACATTCTTTGGGCATGTGCTTTCATTTCTTGCAATAAAGACCTAGGAATGAAATAGCTGGCTTATATGGTAGACATGTTTAATTTCTTTTATAATGCCAAACTGGCTTCCAAAGCTGTGTGCCATTTTACATTGCAGTCTGCGTGAGTCCCAGTTGCTCCATAGCCCTGCTAATACTCGGTATGGTGAAGCTTTGTCATTGTAGCCAACCTCGTAGGAATATAGTAGTTTTCATTGGCATTTCTCTAATGACAAATGATGTTGAGTGTTTTTTTGACATTTATCTTTTTTTTTTAATTCTCACCTGAGGGCATCTTTGCATTTATCTTCAGATAGAGCGGGAGGGAGAGGGGGAGGAAGAGAGAGAGAGAAACAGTTATGTGGGAGAGACACATCGACTGGTTGCCACCCACATGACCCCAACCGGGGCCAGGGACAAATTGCAACTGAGGTACATGCCCTTAGCGGGAACCGAACCCGGGCCTCTCTGGTCTGCAGGCCTATGCTCCAACCACTGAGCAAAACTGGCCAGGGCAACATTTGTTTATCTTTCGGTAAGGTAACTATTCACATCTTTTGCCCATTTTTATTTTTTTATTTTTAAAATATTTGTACTGGTTTTTAGAGAGAGAGGGAAGGAGAGGGAGAGAGAAACATCGATATCAATGTGAGAATGAAACATATAGATCAGCTGCCTCCTGCATACTTCCCCCCGGAGATCAAGCCTGCAACCCAGGCATGTGCCCTGACTGGGAGTCTAACCAGTGTATGAGACAACACCCAACCAACCAAGCCATACCAGCCAGGGCTCTTTTGCCCATTTTTCAAATTGGGTTATTGTCAAGAACTGTGAAGGGTCTGACATTTTATCCTTTTTGCAAGCAAAGTTTTATGGGTGCTGGCAGAAGACATGAGACTCTCGAGTCACAGAGAATGGACTTTATTTCTCTCTCAACCTGAGCTTCATGTTTGTATCAGTTTTCTTGTCTGCCCCCACCCCAAGTTCCACAGAGGTAACACAATGACCTCGGTGTGTGCTAAATTCACAGTGGTTTGCATCATAGTTGAGAACTCTGAGCTTTAGGAAACCCAAATCTTTTATAATCACCTGCCCAACCTTAGCCCCAGAGGGTCCGTTATCTTTAGTGCACTGGACAGTAAATGAACCTGCCCTCCACTCTGGAGGAAGACAGACTGTCTTCTAAGGCTGTTGCTGTACAAACCACCTTGAAAAGATAGTCCAGAACAGAAGGCTGTCGATGTCTTTGTTTACAAGACATGAGAAACATACGGGACCCATCAGAGTTGTCTGCCAACAATGTCCTGTTTCTACATTATTTTAGTTTTTAGTGAGTTTTCCCATAAGTATACCACTTTGTGGCATTGATTAATCTGACACATAGGGGCTGGGACCTAATGCATTCAACTCTTCTCATTCTGGGCTTAATTAAGGCAGCTATCCACAGAACTACAAACAGCAGATGTGGCTACCCTGCAGTGCTGGGCTTAACCATGCACCCATTCACCTGAGATCCTGGATTCAGCCAACTGAACAGTCCCTAGAAGGCCAGGTGGCTTTCTTCTTTAGTTTCTGGGTTGACTTTCAGTTTATCCCTAAACATTAATCTAAGAATGGCAAGATGTTTTAGCAATAGCACTGTCTCTATGTTGGCCCATAGGGAGGAAATCTAAGGCAAGGCTGTCATCAGGAATAACACAGCTAGTGGTTTGAGGCTGTCACCAATGCCTTTCTGCACCCCGGCAGTGTCATTGATCACGTCGACTTAAGTCAGGCACAAATTCTGTGTCGCCTTTTTATTTGTATAACTCTCATTATAGGGGAAACTACCCATGGTACATGCATAAATAACAAGTCATTTACTACTTCATAAAGCTCCCCCAAGTAACCAAGGGTAGCCTCATTTTGGAGAGATCTCTGCAGTTATCTGAGAACTAAACTAATTTACCCATGGTGTTTCCCTAAACACTGATGGTCTCTTCCACCCACCCCTGGGTTGCAAGTTGTCATAGTTTTGGGAAGGAAGGAACTTAGAACTTGGCTTCCGCACAAGAAGTACCATCCCAGGGGCACAGAGATGCTTGTAATAGAAAGTATTGTTTACTATTGTTTGTGCCCCAAAGCGGGACCTTCATCAGTCAGGGGCACAGGTTGACATTGCCTCGCTGTGCCCCCCACCCCTCTTCCTAGCTCAGAATAATTGAGTCTAGTCCTTGTTTTTGGAGTAACTGTCTGAATGTAGTCAGTTCAGTCTGTCCTGTTTGTCGTGAGCATCTGAATGTCAGCTGAGTGGCAGTCATTCACCTCACAAATTGAGCCTCAGCTTTGAGAATGGTAGTGGGACAAACATCTGGTGTTTCACATGAGACAAGCAGGAGCTTGGCCATCCCCCTGCTGTATCCAAAATCCTCCTTGGTAAAGTTAAGGAAAATGGTGGTTAAATAGTGGTCAGAGCTATCTGGCAGCGGGTAACTTCTCTAGCAGACAATTTCAGGTTGCTTGCAACAGTTGAGGAGAGCTGCACCAGCATTTCCCTACCTGTGGAAGGCTCTGGGAAGTTCTGACGGACATAGGTCATTGACGTCCCTTCCTCCCCTCTACTTCTGGGCTCTGAGATGTTCTCTCCCCATGTGCCAGGGTTGTTGCTTTCTCTCCACCTCCACACATCAGTGTG